GGAAATAGGGTGAGGGGTCCTTACTTGTTTCGGGGTCTGAATACGGCTCTACAGTGTGCCTACAGGTTGTCCCTAATTTTTCCTGAATTTTTTTCGGGGAGCTGAAACGCACTACTAGTACCTGCACGTGTCCCAAAAAATTCCAAATTAGACCCAGGGCCCCTTTCGGCCAATATCGGAATTTCGGCACGGCGGCTCCGCCGTGCTCTGACGACGGCGCCGCCGCAAGCGGCGGTGATTCGCCTCGGGTTGGTCGTTTTCGACCGTTTCTGGCCGAATTGGCCACACTTGCATCGATCCCTATGATAAAACAACCCTAGGACCCTCGGGGGGCCAAAAAATTACGAAAAACTGAAGCTTACCGGCGGCGGTGCTCTCGGGTGCGGCGGCTCTCCGGCGTGGTTCGTGTTTTGGTGATTTGGCTCCGATCAACCTGTAGAGAAAAGAATGGTGATCACGGTGATATAAAAATTGTATCAAACGGAGGCCGGGAAGGGCCTCATCGGAGGCAAAAATTGAGGAGGGGCGCGGCGGTGCCGTTAGGTTTCGGTCGTGTTTTCCGGCCGTTTGGCTCCGATTTGGCCACAGGGGAACTCAGCATTGAAAAACGAGCTGAGGGTATGAAATTTACCTCGATCGGCGGTCGAAAAACTCCCCGGTGCGGCGGCGGGTGGCGGTGGCCGGCTCCTCCGGCGTCTGGTTCGTCTTCTCCGGTGAGGGCAGGCGGCTAGGGTTTTTGTGGTCAGGTGTGGGGGGTTTATTTATACCCTTTGCCTTTTAATCACAGCAGTCCATCTTGATTGAATCTGGACCGTCCGTGCGCATGCATCTGGGCTGTCCGTGCGCACACTTGATCTGGGCCATCCGTGCTCGCGGGGACGCATCTGGGCCGTCTGATCGCGCGCACGCGGATCGCCCACGTGGCCCTTTCCCGGGTCGGCGTGGCCTTGCCACGCGGCAGGTCCTGGTTGGCCAGGGCTGCTGACTGGGCCGCTGACGTGGCTGACGGGGCACAATTTTTCTAAATTGCGTTTTGACCCCCAGTTTCTGAATTTCTTTTCAAAAATACTCACATAATTCAAATTTTCACCCCTTTTTTCCAAAATCAATTTCAATTAAATCTAAATAATATTTTTACCTAATTTTATCATTATTAATATTTTTATATTCACAAAAATTAATTTAAATTAAATTACATCAAAAAAAAATAAAATAGAAAAAATTATTTTGGGTGTTACATGTGTGGCCAACAGAGACTGGTGCAGTGTGGTGAGTGCGTGTGTGGCCGACAGAGGTCGGTGCAGTTTGATGTGTGTGTGGCTGAACAGGGGCTGGTGTGATAAGTGAGTGTGTGGCCGAACAGAGGCCGGTGCGATGTGGTGTCGTGTGTGTGGCCAACTAGAGGCCGACGTGAGGAGTGTATGTGTGACTGAACTGAGGTCAGTGTGTGTATATATGAGACATGTTCATGGATAGCTGGTGGTATGTGGTTTGGTTCTGATTAGGTGAGTGTGTGATACATGTATGGATGGCTGAGGTAGGGCCGACGTATATGTGTGTTTGCTGGTGGTGTGTTGATATATGCAGGTGAAGCCAAGGTAGGGCCTGGCGTGTGTGTGTGCTTACTGGTGGAGTGGTAACACATGTATGTATGGCTAAGGTAGGGCCGACGTATATGTGTGTTTGCTGGTGGTGTGTTGATATATGCAGGTGAAGCCGAGGTAGGGCCTGGCGTGTGTGTGCTTACTGGTGGAGTGGTAACACATGTATGTAGGGCTGAGGTAGGAACTTGTCACATGAGTAGTGGGGTTAAGGTTATGTATTGGATTGAAGGAGACTATGTATGTGTAGTCCTGTTGTGGAGAAGAAGTGAGGCAGTGTTGTATGAGTTTTAGGCTAATGTATAGGCAGGTCGAGGGTAAATGAGGTATATTGGGAGTATCAGTATGGTGGTTTTTTCGGATAAGTGTTGTTAAATGGTCATAAGAGACAATGAGGGTAATAGCAGGTTGTGGGTATAGGAGGTAGTGTTAGGTTAGGGATTTAAATATATTTTCATGCTTTGTTTGAAATTCTAATTTTGTTTTACTGGGTTAGAGTATGCTCACTGTATGTTAATTGCAGATACAGTAAGACATGATTCAGAGCTAGAAACACAGATGGTAGATCAATAAGTAGAGGAAATTAATATAATTGGACATTGACATTTACACTAGATATCTATACCAGTTTACTTTCTGATATTATATACACATTATTTTTTCTTGTTGAAGCATTTGTCACTTAAACAATTAGTTGTAAAGTGAAATTAATAGGATGAATCGCATGTATATTACTTAATTGGATTTGAATGAAATCATGAATATAGAAAGATGGAATACAAGTGAAATTTGGAGTTACAGAACACCCCGGGGTGTTACAGTTTATATCAAAATCAATTTACTTGTTTGTAATTTTTTTCTTTAATGTAAATTTATGGTTACAAAAAACTAGTAATATAAATGAATTAATTCAACAACAAAAAATCTCCAAAAAAAATATTTTACCATAACATACGAATTAATTATAAAAATATTAAATTTTATAATTTAATTTAATTATCTTCTCGAGATCCATAAAAATTATTAAAATTTAAAATAAGTTAATCGCGGCCCATTTTATAAAATAAATAAATAAAAAGGAGTGAGAATCTAACGGCCGTCTAAAATTTTGTACCACAACCAACACATAAGGAATTCCGTCCAACAATATTTAATTTTATAATCATAATAAATAAATTAATTTAATGTCAATTTTTTATTGATTTTAACGAACAAAGTAAATAGCTATTTATTTTATAATTAATCTATTTTTGAAAATGAAAATTATAAGGTGTTATAAAAGAAATTTTATATTTATTTTAAGAAAAAAGAAAATTGGTACCAAATATTATTTAATATTTTTAATAAAAAATATATTATTAAATAAATAGTTGACTTTTTGGAAAACAAAAATATATATGAGCGCCTAATTTACGCGTCAAAAACAAACCACTCAAATAATTGCTGAAGAATGATCAAGACTCTTCGTCTGCTCCTTCAATGTCTTCTACTTCCCCTGTATTTCTTCATCTTCTCCGATTTCTTCTTCTTCTGTCAAGCCGACGTCGGCACCGCCAAGCAATATAGTCCACCGTATTTACGTAAGTTACATCAACATACACAATTGAAGCCTCAATTCCAATCATCGTCATCATCATTTATCGCGTTTTTTACTTGGATTTGATCTGTTTTGGTTCATGTAATTTAGCGACGGAGTGTTTCGCCAACGATGCCTCGCAATTTCCGCCGAATAATTTTTTCGCTGCCGCCGGAGACGGTGTTTGGGACAATGGCGCTTCCTGCGGGCGACAGTACTTGGTGAGATGTGTAAGTGCGACGGCGCCGAGTATTTGTGATACTTCGACGACTATTCAGGTGAAGATCGTTGATATTGCGCCTTCTACCTTTTCTGGAACGACGATTGTTTTGTCGGAAACTGCCTTCGGCGCCATCGCCGGCTCTGCTACCGGTGTCCTCAACGTCGAATTTCAACAGTAATTTAATTTTTTCTCTATCTGTCACTTGGATTTTTTTTTATCTAATTTGAAATCTGATCGTTCTTCTACACAATTGCAGGGTATAATGATTATGATATGGACTTGGTATTGTGATTATATCGTGTGCAGGATGGAGATGAGTCAGATCATTGTAACCTGTAAATGTATTCTTCTTCTTGTTAGAAGAAGCTTCTTGTGTTTAATTCCATTCTTTTTTTCTCTTTCAAACAAGAAAAAATCACATTCATATTCTTCAAATAATTTATTAGTTAAAAATTACATATATTCCAATAATAACATAATTTTTAATATAAGTAATTTAAAGCCGCAAAATTATTAAAAAATTTGTACTTACTCTAGAAATAAAATACAGTTGAATGAGTGACCAAAATAGGAAATTTTTTAAATCACACTGGTTGAATTCTCAAACTTATACAGTATTTGCTCATTGGGACATACGTATTTGATATTAATTTTTCATAGACGTCGTGGGCGTATTGTTTATGGCTTATTAAAGTCTATACTCAATATTAATTATATTAAAATCTATATATACATATGTATATAGTCAGAAGAATATAATGCCCTAAGAAAAATAATACATGGGAAAACTCTCTTCTATCACTCCATTTAATACGTGAAAATAAAGTGAGCATTATCCGATTTGGATTAAAAAACAAGATTGAATTACGAAATGGAATCGAATCGAAACAATATTCAATCTGATTTTTTATTCAAAATACCTTTATAAAGTAAATATAATTTATGACATTGTAAGAAGAGCCTTTTTAATATTATGGGCATGTGGGAATGAAACATGTAGATATATATATATACATACATATATGTATTTATTGCTTTTAGTCATATGCATGTATATATGATTTGAAAATTAACAAATGGACCGGCCGGATTGAACCAGATCGGCCCATTTCGAAGGAGGGACCCCAAACTCAAATCCAGCTTGATAAAAATTGATACGTCAGCATGAAACTTAAAAGAGAAAATTAATACGTACTAAAAAGTAGACTCCACTAAAAACTAGCCAACGATAATGGGTAAATGGGTGACTACCAAAGTCAACCCCGAGTCAACAGGATCAACGTATTTGACGGTATCAGGACCAGTCATCATCATATCTTGTATCTTTATGTACAACACAGAATCACAAGGCTTTTTGTTATTTTTTTTAAAATTATATTATTTTATTTATTTTGGGCTTCAAGAATAAAAGCCCATAAAAGAATTCTGAAGGTGAGAGGTAGATGAACCCGTAAGAACAACGCGACCCGACAAAAACAAGAACTAAAAAAATGGAGTTGGCTGTGTCAGAATTCGGGATTCAGGATTATCCAATTGTCCTCTTTCGTGTTTAGTCATCACCGTCCTCCGAAGATAAAAGCCGCTGACTCTTTTCCTCGGGAATTCTCTGCAACTTTCTAGGTACTTGAAATATGTTCCTAATAATTATGTGATCTAAACCTATAATCAATTATTGATTTGTCATCCGATGATTCCAAAATTTCCTCCAGAATCTTCACTCTATGCCGTCTTGACTTGTTGTTAAAGAAATTCAAACTGGAAAGGGGAAGAGAATTCGACGATCTTTCTCTTTTTATTCTATGCAGCTCTTCGTGCTCGCCTAGGGTTTCCGATTGTTCCTTGTGCTGTAGGCTTTGTTTATATTCGTTACTAAAAAGTCGGAGAAAAAGAAGAAGACGGTTTTAGGTCATCAATGAAAGGGGAAGTACAGCTTGAGCCAGCAGTTGCGGAGAGCCCTAGCGATTCTGCTCCTCTGCTTGAGAACCAACCTGATTCCTTGTCGTCGCCGTTGTCGGGGTCGCCGGAAAGTTCGAGTGAGATTAGGGATGAAGATGTGGAGAACGGTTCTGCTCCATGTTGCCGCATTTGCCTCGAGAGCGACAGCGAATTTGGTGATTATCGAATTCTTTATTTGGTGTTGAAATTTGATTGATTTGCTCCTTTTCTTTGGATTCCAAGTTCTGGAGTTGTTGTGTGTAGAATTTCCGCGATGATTTGTCATAATTGATATGCTTTTCCAAGTGGACGGTCTGCTTTTTGTGCATTAGAAATTACAAATTCTAATCGGGGAAGAAAGATAGACATAAAAGGGGGTGAAGAAATTGATCATTCGGGACTAAAAGTGGTTAATGAGAGAACTTGAGGAGTTGATACATTTGAGTAAAAATTGAAATGATTGCAGTTATACATGCATTTGGTTTAAGCTATTATGGCAGGTTTGGTTGGAACCTAATGAAAGGCAAGGGCACAAAGAAGCTTTATTTATTTATTTATTTCCAGAACTATAATGGCTTACTAATATATTAGTGTATTATGAATGCTTACTCAGGATATCCAAGTATTAATGTTGATTGATTATGGTGGTAGATTTTTTACATTAACCTTGTGACCTTTTAAGGTGGACGGGTTTATTGGCTTTCCTTTTGTTGTTTGTTTTGAACTGTTTTCACCTTTTATTTTCAGATGTTACCGGTCATTAAGGCAATATACTTTTAATGAATAATTAAGAAAAGTTTAGCATCTTTTTTTCCTTTCTGCTCTTTCCATTTTATGTTTTATCTTTAATGGTGTTCGAGTGAAATTTTCTTATGTTATTGTTTCTTATGGTTCTAAATGTGCTGAGGCTGATGCTTGCTTGATTTTAGTAGGTGATGAATTAATATCTCCATGTATGTGCAAAGGGACCCAGCAGTTTGTTCATCGTTCATGTCTCGATCATTGGCGTTCGGTGAAGGTGTGTTTCTCTGTTAGCCTGTCTTACTGGCTAGATGAGAATGTTAGATAACCTTTGTTGTTTCAGATGGTTGCTTCCAGGAATTCAATTTGGCAATGAAGTTTTTAAATTTCCCTTGTTATATATAGGAAGGATTTGCATTCTCACATTGCACAACTTGTAAAGCCCAATTTCACCTTCAAGTTGCATTGTTTGAGGACAACTCATGGCAGAAAGCAAAGTTCAGAATTTTTGTGGCTAGGGATGTCCTGCTTGTATTCTTGGCTGTACAAACTGTGAGTTTACTTTTTCCTCTGTCCATTGATAAGAGTTATACACATCCTTATGAATCGTCCTTTCCAATGTTCACTTCTATGGTCTTTTCTTTTGTTTAGGTGTCACACTAACATTGGGAATTACGTTAATTTCCCATGTGGCGAATAAATTTCTGTCATATCCTGTGATTCATTTATCATCAGTTTTATTTTTTTCTTTTTGCATTGTCCATGTGAAAAGCTACTTCATGTTTTGGGATTTCTTTTTCCATCCCTTTTTTCCTTGTTCTGCGAGAACTAAGTGTGGAAAATTCTTAGTTCCTGATGTCAAATTGTTCTGGAGGTGTATTGAACACATCTTTTTTTTGTACGATACCTTTCTCTATTTGGTGTATTCATCTTGCTAATGACAGTGCTTTTTTGTTACTACAAAAGAAGTGAAGGACTTCATATCAAAATTTGTAACTTAAAAAAGGCCAGTAGAATTGAAAAAAAATGGGCTGAAGCCTCATTCTTAAATTGAGGTATTTATAGGCCGCAATTGAAGTAGATACTCTTGGGAGCAAGAGTTCTTAGATTTTAAAGGTTAAAAGTAGTTGAGACAAACATGCAGTTCTACAAGGTAGCTAGGATTATTATTGTGCCACCATATTTGTTATCTATTATTGGCAGTCAACAGTGAAATTGATTCTCTGTTTATAACCTCTATTCAAATCTTCATACCATGCATTTTATTAATTTATTTCCCATTTGTTGCTGGTTTCCTTCTTCTATTTCACGCGGAAAATTGAAAAGGAAAAGGTGGCGAATGATTGTAGAATCGTTCTCACGATATTGGGAAATGGATAGTCAAATTTCATTGCTTGTCGAATGAGGTAGCAAAAATTAGGATTAATTTCCCAATTAGGGAATTGGGGTAAACTTTGGTCCTGTATTTAGGATTTTTTAGATATCACGGCCAAGAAAATGGGTTGCCAGGTATCGTAGTTAACTAGCAGTAGTAAAATGAATTCGTTTGGCTTGATACCCTCAAAAAGCCACTAATCGGTTTCTAAAACATTCAAACTAAAGCTAACCATTTACCAAAAAAAAGAAAAAACCAAACTAAACCAAAATAATTCAATCAGGTTTCGTTGGAACTGATTTTTATATATTTTTGAAAATTCTATAACTTTCTGAGACAACATTAACTCTCATTCATAACAATGTATCTTAAGATAATATCTCTCAGAAAATAAACAAGTTGTATATACAACTTAGCCAAAAAAAAAGAAAGAAAAACAAGTTACATATTCATCTCTTTAGTTATTTAGGGGAATAGATTCAACTTTGTGAAATCCCAACCCCATATTTCGTATATTAGAAAAAGGAATAATCCGTCTGGTTCAGGATTGATATCTGAATTGCATCAATCCATTTTATTCCATTGATCTCATGGAAAGGATTCAAAATCATTTAGCAAAAATTACGGAACTATTTGTACATTGTTGAATAGAAATAAGGAATGGAAATCTTTGATAATTTTGTTATCATTTAATTGTTTTCAAGTTGGTCCATTCAAGCATGTAAAATCTCATAATGTGATGAAACGATCAATTAAAAATATCCTCTAATTCCAATTAGAAATTCATTGGTCCCTGTAGGAACAGCCATTGAAATTGCAAAAATGTTTATTCAATTTACCATTTAATAACTCAAATCAAATCTCGGTAGGAAAGTATTTTCAACTTGACAATTTAAAACATGTTTTTTGAATAATTAAATATTATTTGAAGGACGAAACCCTGGCTAACCTAGCCTCCTCACTAGTTTGTTATATATGTAATATATTATATTATTCCAGAATGCTTGTATTGAATAATTCATGGCTCGTAAGGGAGATTTATTGGTATTAATAGCTTGCTAAGTAACTCTTTTTGTGCTGTGGGGAATCAAACCTCAGTTTATAAGCTTCTTCAGGAGTATCTTGGCCTACTGACGCATCCTAAGTAAACTCTACCGAACAGGAAAATACTAAGAATTACCTGAAAATATAAATATTGATACTAATACTCCTTAGTATAGGAAAACTACTAACAAGTAAATTAGGAGAAGAATATATTTGACCCTAGATGCATGTAAGTCTCACATGTATGGTGGCTGCTTTCTGCGATTGTTCAATGATTTTGTGTTGAAGTGGATGACCTTTGTATTTAGTGTATTTTGTTGGCTAGCACATAGTTAAAAATAAAATCAGGGCAAACGATCATTTTCTTTGTAATTTAGTTAACCTTGTGTGTATATCTTGGGTCTTTCATGGCTAGTAAATTCTGTTGGATTAATCAATGAACTTTTCCTTTGTCGGGAAAACTCCTTTTGAAACCTAGAGAAAACAGGTATTCTAGATACTTATAGAGAAGTATTATAGAAACTGGGAAGAAATGTGAAGTTGAGTTCTTGTTGATGTTATGATGGAGCTGATAACATTTTTTAAGGCACAAAAGAGAAAAATCATGTGTTTTTTTTTCCTTAAAGTATGTCTCTGCTTCCAGGTCATTGCTGCAATGGGAGGATTTGCATACCTCATGGACAAAGATGGGGCCTTCCGCAATTCTTTCAGTGATGGATGGGATCGTATATTGTCAAAACATCCAATACCCTTCTATTATTGCATAGGTAGGCTGTAGCTTTAAGATTACCACTTATTTCTGCATTTTCTGCCAGAATATCATGTTAAAATCTTCCTTTTCTTTTTTATACAAATATATGAGTATAGTACTTTAGCTTTATCTTAAGTACTTTGAAGACGCAGTTCACTTTGAGCTGATAGTTAATGCAGATTCCATCTGATATTTCATGTTTGTATGCTCAATGTTAGGAGTTCTGGCCTTCTTTGTGCTGCTGGGATTTTTTGGGCTCATATTACACTGTTCCTCCCTCAATGGTAATGACCCTCGGATGGCTGGCTGTCAAAATTGCTGTTATGGGTGGGGTGTTTTGGATTGCTTCCCTGCTTCCATGGAGGCATGCTTCGCACTGGTGATAGTTTTCATTGTGATCTTTGCAATTCTTGGCATTGCTTATGGTTTCCTTGCTGCCACTATGGCTATTCAGAGGATCTGGCAGAGACACTATCACATTCTCACAAAGAGAGAGCTCACAAAGGTAATCTCTATGAACTCACTCTGTTACTCACTATTATGTAAGTCAGCTAATTCAGATCCTTCCCATTAGCCAATTCCAAAATTCTTAGTACTTTTTTTCTAACAATGTCTGCAGGAGTACGTAGTGGAGGATCTCCATGGCTGTTATACCCCTCCAAAGCTGGATCCAGAACATGAAGGACGCTTGAAAATGCTTAAGCTTTTGTAATAAAGGATACCGTGTTTTGAAAGTGAATGTTGGAATATCTTACCTTAAATAACGTATCAAAAGATACGCCGTGTATTCTTTTGACAACTCTGTAACTGATTAAAGAGAAACTAGAGACCGCATAATTTTCTCTTTAGATTGCTCGAATGAAGTGGGAAACCAATTTTGCGGGACTAAATCAAAGAATGAACAGAATTGGGTACATAATAATTTGTGGGGTTATACAGGATTTCGTTCCTTCACTGTTTGCTTACTGCCATTGCTTTGAGTTGCAGAATCTTTAAGACTCTGCTAACAAGAGCAAATATTGGATGAACTTTAAATTAAGTTTTTTTAAAGTATAATTTCGTTCAACTTCTGAAATTATTCTGCCGTTCCATAGGAACAAAAATAAGGATCTCGTTTCGTTAAACTTTAAAGTATAGTTTGTTTTGACGAGGATAATTTTGAATCGAAGTTCTGTATAATTATAATAAATTATTATTGTTGTACTCACTGAAAGTAAAAAGCTCTGAGCAATAAGCACTGTGGACTATGAGCGTGAGGTCAAAGGAACAAACGGTTGAATCATTTTTAGTTGACGAACTTTCCGTCCACCTACAAACTCAACGGCATGCCACGTGTCTCACCCACCGGCACCTCCACCCGTAACAGCAATTTCAGCGTGACAGCCGCCTCCACTTCCCAACCAATGAGGTATCATCTAAATGGTTGTATTTGACGGAACTGTCACGCGAATATTTCCCCTGCACGCATTTCCTCTTAACGGTTTCTGGGTGGAAATAACGAAGTCAGCCGCGGACGTTCCAATAGCTTGATGACACGTAGACCGTGCAGTCCAAAGCGCGTGCGAGAGAGTAGGCAGTGGACGCACCACCAGCTCAGCTCGCGCGCGTAATTCCGAGAGAAAGAAACGGTCTGTCTCTCTGTCTCTCTCCCCTTCTTTCTCTGTGCATCTCCAACTCATCGGTGTAACCAGAGAAACCGACGTCGTTTCCCTCCACATTTCAAATTCCACACATAAATACGATATACATTATACAGCGGCCGCTAGTTGTATAACAGCTCTGTTCATGTGTGTTAAAAATCATTTTTAACTTGACTAATTTTCAAAAGCAGATCTTCTGGTATCCCCTTCCGAGATCATCGTGGTGGAGCCAGGCGCTCGGCCTCAAATCCCTGAGGTACATTGTCTTCTCCATTTCTTCTTATCTTCTTCCGTCTTCAGTGCTCAAAATCACCGATGAACATGGATTGTCTTTGTCGCGCTTATATCTTTCTTTCGTGATTGCATGGCCATGGAGGTAAACTGTTAGTGTTTACGTCTATTTTTGTCTGAATATATTTAGATGGACGAATTTTAAAAGAATTCTGCAACATTTCTCGAGTTTGCCGTGGAGGTAAACTGTTAGTGTTTACGTCTATTTTTGTCTGAATATATTTATATGGACGAATTTTAAAAGAATTCTGCAACATTTCTCGAGTTAGGTGCTAATTTGAGGTACTATATGGTATATATTCGTAAATTAATTTTAAAGATCAATCGCCATTGCAAAGTTATTCTTGTCTTTAAAATTTATGGATTAGATCATTCTTTTCCCTCTGAAATCTGATCCTATGTCTAGCCTCCTGTACGTGTAAAATTATTATGAGGAGGAATGTTCTTTATTCAACATTGCTTGTACTTCGTATTAGTTACACTTTAATTAGTTTTCTTGCCTAGATTTTTATCTCATAGTGCTCGGTTTCATCATTTTGTTTTCTGATTGACTGATCATCAGCAATGGAGCACATAAAGTCTCCATTCAAAGGGATTTCCAAGGACTTCCGAGGCAGGAAAGCTTGCTACAAGGAAGACTGGAAGGCTGCATTCTGCTATGGCCCAAGGTTATTTCTCTCTTTCTTTTTTCTTCGTGCTTTTCTGTCTCCCCCTTGCTGGGTCCTAGTAGTTATAATGTTATTTCACGTTTTACAATTGGAATATAATGCAAGTTCTGTTTCTTACGTTTATGTCAGAATGCTGGCTCCAACCACCTACATTTTTTTTGCTTCTGCTCTTCCCGTTATTGCATTCGGCGAGCAATTCAGCAGAGAAACAGGTTTATTGTGTCGCGTGACTCATTGATGCTATCGGTGTCTCTCCCAAAATTGATGTGTCTTTTAATAACTTCTTTTTCCATGCAGATGGGAGCTTGAGCGCAGTGGAAACGCTGGCTTCTACCGCTATCTGTGGGATCATACACTCTTTGTTTGGTGGACAGCCCCTATTGATTGTGGGAGTTGCAGAGCCAACGGTCATTATGTATAACTATTTGTTCGCTTTTGCCAAAGGAAGGAAAGATATTGGGAAGAAGATGTTCTTAGCTTGGGCTGGATGGTACAAGGAGTTGACCTCTTTACTGTGTTCCAACAATATTTAATAATCCTCAATATTTTGCTTAATTAGAATATTGATTTCAAATAAATTGTTGCAGGGTTTGTGTCTGGACATGTCTGCTGCTCTCCCTTCTTGCAATATTTAACGCTTGTGCAATTATCAAAAGATTTACAAGAATTGCAGGGGAGCTTTTTGGCATGTTAATCGCAGTTCTTTTCTTTCAACAGGCCATTAAGGTATCTGCTTTTTATTAGCAGTAACTCAGAAACCGAATTCTGTATTTCTGTTTTTAGCTGATACTAAAAGTTAATGTTTCAATCCCAGGGAATGATAAGTGAATTTAAGGTTCCTGAACATGAAGACCCAGAGTCTGGACAGTATCAGTTTCAATGGTTATATGCGAATGGCCTCTTGGGTATTATATTCACCTTTGGATTACTCTTCACGGCTTTAAAGAGCAGAACGGCAAGATCATGGCGATATGGCACAGGTTTGGTGAAGCTATTCCATCCCGTCCTTCTTTAAAATCAATCTCCACGAAGCTAAACATGTCACCCTTTGTTGCAGGGTGGTTCAGAAGCTTTACTGCAGATTATGGTGTTCCTTTGATGGTTGTTGCATGGTCAGCTTTGGCATTTTCTATACCTGGAAAGGTTCCTTCCGAGATTCCCAGGAGGCTTTTTAGTCCCCTCCCTTGGGATTCTGTCTCATTGGAACATTGGACAGTAATTAAAGTAAAACCGCGAAGTCTTTTGTTTGATTTTTGAATATCCATTATTGATGATAAAGTGATTGGACTTTCTGCCATATCCCATAAACAAATTCTTTCTTCTATTCAAGGAAAATAGAGCCAGAAGATTCTCACTTAGACATTTTAAATTGCAGGATATGCCGAATGTGCCACCCCTATACATATTTATTGCCTTCTTACCAGCTATCATGTTCACCGGTCTATATTTCTTTGACCACAGCGTTGCTTCCCAAATGGCACAACAAAAAGAGTTCAACCTCAAGAAGCCATCAGCTTATCATTATGATATTTTTGTTCTTGGTATTACGGTACACTTTCTCCTCGAATTTTGGGGGTTCATATATGACCTTTTTAACTTTAATTGCATCTTCATTCTACATTATTTTTATGTACCACTTTCAATGCATCTTTTAGACATTGATTTGTGGATTGCTTGGACTCCCTCCATGCAATGGAGTACTACCACAATCCCCAATGCACACTAAGAGCCTTGCTGTTCTCAAAAGACAGGTCGGTTGACACATTTTAATAGGAAATTTATATTATCTTCTCTGATAACACAATTTCTTTACAGTTCAAGACATTCTTATTTATGGATGCAGTTGATCAGAAAGAAGATGGTAAAGAGTGCCAAAGAATGTATGGAACAGAAAGCTAGCAACTCTGAAATCTATGGCAGGATGCAGGAAGTTTTTGTGGAAATGGATGCAACTCCAGCTGTAAGTTCTCCCTTGCTATAACTCTGCAAATGCTTGCGTTATGTTCTCTGGCCATCAGCCTGCCGCTGATTCATAGAGGCAAGCTATTAGAGAAAAGAGCAATAAACAATAGAAATTTTGAGATCATCTAATTGAGTTTGCGACACAGTTTTAGTAAAGCTGCATGTGTGATTATCTTGAGAAAATCCCAAAGAAAATAGGATTCTGCTGCTGGACACTGCCAACACTTATCCTGGCATTTATTATGCCGGTTCAAAATAAAAAACAGAATACTTCTGCGCATGCTGCTGGGCATGTGCACTCAAAGAGTTTTGGCTCTGGATTCGCCTGCAACACTTCAGACGTTGTCTTCCAAGTACTCTGGGCGGGATATGAATTCTTTTGAGAATCTGATTTGAAGGAAATCTTACCCTTACAATTAATTTGTCTACAAGTAGATTTTCAACACTATGATTTTGAGATGGCTGACATATGAATAGCCCAAATATTTTCTCTAACCCATTTTTCTTGACCCCTGATAATGATTTTGTCATTATGATTCTCATTTAGCCTGCTGCTGCTCAAGAGCTGAAGGATTTAAAGAATGCAGTTTTGAGACGCGATGAAGATGGAAGAACCACTGATGATAGTTTGACCCCGAAAAGCATATTGATGCTTACTTACCTGTGCGGGTAAATGAGCAGAGACTTACCAACATGTTACAATCACTTCTAGTGGGAGCATCAATATTTGCTATGCCCATGATCAAGAAGATACCAACATCGGTTTTATGGGGATATTTTGCCTACATGGCTGTTGATAGCCTCCCTGGAAACCAATTTTGGGAAAGAACATTGCCACTGATCATTTTTCCCAGTCGGCGTTACAAGTACGTTGTAGATTTTAGATGACCTTTCATTTCGTTCAGCAATTATTTAGAATTTATGACCAGTATTTCATTTTAAACTCCTGAAATCATTATCCAGTAATACGCTTAGCTGTGATGTCTGTCCTTAAAGGTAACCTATTTTTGATCTGGAATCATGTTCAGGGTTTTAGCAGGAGCTCATGCTTCTTTTGTGGAGTCAGTGCCCTTCAGACACATTGCTTCTTTTACAATCTTCCAGCTGGTGTATTTTCTGATTTGTTATGGAGTGACATGGATACCAATTGTTGGGATATTGTTCCCCTTGCCATTGCTTCTTCTGATAGTCCTAAGACAGCATCTGCTCCCAAAACTATTTCACCCACATTACCTTCATGAGTTGGATGCAGCTGAGTATGAGGAAATTGCTGGAGCTAGAAATTGGGGTCATAGCGTCCGATTCAAGGTAAATAAGCTCAAATCTTATCTAGCATATCATAGTTAGTCTTCATTCGTGAAGTTAGTCAGAAATTGTACTTTTAGCACTTCGTTTCTAAGTAAAAGCATTTTTGAAGGACTTGTCAAGATTTTGCATTTCCATTATTATTTGAAGTACGAAATGTAAAGGTGTGCTTGTGCTTGTGGTGCTTGTAAATAAGGTTTAACTACATTTATTTGTGTTACCAGGAGATGGAGCAAAATCATATAGGGGATGAAGATAGTGAGGTGGAAACGTGTGATTCAGAGATATTGGATGAGCTGACAACAAGCAGAGGAGAGCTGAAGCATAGATCCAGAAGCTTCAGTGAAGAATGGCTTGCTCAGGCAAGAATTACTTCAATCAAACTTTTCTTCGTATGAAATAAGAATTTTAAGGGAGAAGTACTTATGCCTGATCTAAAATTTGAGCTTTTCAAAATTCTAGCATTCGGACATTTCAGTTTATGTAGCTCTACTATTGTTCTATGAAAAACTCCAACAGTTTCAGTAGCAGTTCTCAAAAACCTCGGACTATTTAGGTATTTTCAGAAGGAAAAAGAAGATTGTAGAGAGAGCCTTGGGATTTTTAATTGGTAGCTTAAATTACCATAAAAAAGACACTTAAGATTAATCGAACAGAGAAAAAGACATCAGTAAAACTACTCTCTTCGGAATCTTTAAGGAGTAAATTATGACAAACTTAAGAGAAGAACAGAAGTTCAGAACTATTACATCTCTCCATTAACAGTGCAAATACAACGTAACAACAGAATATCATAAATTATTTTAGGGTTATATTAAACTTTATTGACTTCCTTTCAAAAGGATTAAATGCCTTTTCTTTTGAAATAACTATCTTTTGCCTGGTTTTGACGCTAGGTTGCTCGAAATGTCCATGATTCTTCAATAGTAAAGTTCATTTAAAAAAGGTTTATCAAGAGAGAAAAGGGTGGTGTTCTGCTCTGAACTCCTAAGACAACTTCAACCAATAAGAAGTTTGGATTCATTGTTCTTTCATGCATTTTCTTTGTGTCTTGTGCTCTTAATTAATTGTGCCTACGTTATACACTGTCTTATGTAAGTATGTTGTGTTACTGCAGGTTCATCCAACAGAGATTGAGCCGGGGAACCAAGTGTAAGACAAAAAGACTATTGATTCATGATGGAAAATTGCCACTGCATTGCAGACCAAGCTTCCGTAGAAAGACTGAGAAAATGGAGTAAGAGAAGCATAATAGAGTAGTACAGGAATTATTTAATTTTTTCTTCCTTTTTCTAATTCTTCTTAGGGGATTCTTTGCTATAGTTTTTAGTAGCATGATTTTATATTGTCTTATTTACAATATCTTTGATAATAGATTAGTACGCACAAGAGCTAACAAGACGAGGAGGGTTTAATGAATCTTAAAATCTTTCACTAGGAATACCAATTAAAATTATTATCTATATGTTATAGATTGCAAGGTCTAGTTTTTTTTTTTTTTCTGTAAATCTGGCTTAAGTTGGTTCATTTTCTATTAACAAAATAACTTTAGATAAATATTTATCATTATTATGAATTTGGAAAGGTGAACAACATCTAGATAGATTCATTTGTGTTTAAAACATAGATTGAGATTTATAAGAAAGTAATAATAAACTCAAAGCTTGATAATATTCTAGTGGGTAATTTACAGCTTTGATTAAATTTGTATTGAATTTGAACAAAGCAGATGAACAGAAAAGATGGAGTCAGCTTCTTGGCTCATCTTAATCAAGATCTTTCAGTGGTGTTACAACAGACATGACTCCAAAATGGAAAAACTTAACTTTCAGCTATTACTATGTACATTACAAGAAAGTGCCTGCATGATTTAGCTTCTTCTACTTAACTTCTGCAGCTGACTGTTGATAAGTTTCTAAAATGGATTTAAAAGGCCATTTTTACTAAATAATAAACATTTTTTGAAAAAGAAAGTAAAAGTTTTTCTTATCTTTCACTCTCGTAGCAGAAGCTGAAGCTCAAATCAAACAGGCACAAAGACTCGTGGTTCTATAAAGAGTTTGTTCTGTTAGTATTTTTTAATCCAGCATCAACGATGAAAATAAAGATGGTCACCATCTCTAATCACCTCTATTTCGTCAATTTCGGCTTGCTCTTCGTTTAAAATTTTAGTAGGCATGATGCCAAATTTCTTGAGACCTAGCTCCTTCAGCTCCTGAAAGCTTCCTGGAAGCAAAACAAGTTTACCCTCTGGCTCCCCCTTTCCTGGGCAACTAATGGTTACCCTGATGGAGCCATTGTTATTGTAAGTATTAGCGGTCTCAGTACCTGTAAATGGAAAGGCTCTTTGCCCAGCAGCAGCTGACATTATTCCAAAAAGGGAGTTATGGAAATTGTTGCTCCTCCTGCGTCTTGGCCGGGATTGGCCAAATGACCCATCTGTGGCTGAGAAGGATCTGACAGTTTGGATAGTTGGCTCACTTGTAAATCTCCCAAGAAATCTTACGCCTTCCTCTTGCTGCCTCTGCGATTGCTGCTTCTGCTGCTGCTCAGGAACTGCAGTGTCAGAGGGAGCTTTTGCCTTCTTTTTACTTGCCTGGAATAGAAGTTTTATGTCTTCATGCCCTTGTTGGTCAGCCAGATCTCTTGGAGTCCAACCATGGATGTCTGGTTGATCGACATCAGCTCCATGGTCCAGGAGGAACTGGACTATTTCAGTGTTGCCTTCACAAACCGCAACATGTAGGGCCGTAGAACCATTGTTCCTAGGACTTGTTACATCCCCTCCATAACGAATTATGTCCTTGAGCAAATTCAAGTTGTTTTGCTCTGCGGCTGTGCAGGCAAAGTAACCTACATCTCCCATTTTGATATTTGCACCATTTTCTATCAATAGCTTCACAACATGATCATGGCCTGCAAGCATTGCTTCCCATAATGGTATATTTCCATCCGAATCTGCACATATACAAGTAAAAATTAAATAAATCACCTCAACCACTCTGCAAATATACAAATACATAGTTTTCTCTCATGTTTTTCAAGAATATTAAATATTAAATCCTAATCAAAGGCATTAGACACGGACATGGAAGAAAATAATATTGCCAGCACATGATAAAGAATTTGGGATAATATAAAGTAGATAGAATACATTTCTCAGTATGAAAGTCAGCAGATATGAAGCTGCTTGATAAGGTAAGCTTTCTGTTGACTTATTTTATTTGGATAATCGAAATATGTAAAATACATGCATTATGCTCCAACTTGGAAACAAATCTTACTAGTTTGAACAATTCAATAATTGCAGAATTGACTTCTACTATTTTTAAGTTTACAAAATTTAGAAACAAATGGAATGGATGAATGGCATGAGATCATAGCACATGCATGCTTCTAGTTTAGTGACATGGGTCAGTATCGAAAATCATATTTGAATAACAGTCTATTTCACCAACTAAAAAGAAATATAGAGAAGACAAATTTAATCGGTTTAACTGACTTCAATTTCAGATAGAAAAACCTAAACAACTCATAAGATATAACATGGTGCAAACAGACAGCGTTAGATCCGGTGAAATGGTCGTGATTCCTGCCACTCCTCGATTAACAGAAGAGTTTAAAAGAAAAGAATAAGAACACCCTGTTGGGCATTTTCTGTTGTATCAGAATTACATCATGAAAAGGAAGGTTTTTGAATTACATTTCTTTCCAAAGATTAGATTTTTATATATGTAAAGGCCAAATCAAGTATGAATTATTGGGGGGCTAGTTTATACATGCGGGACCCATATTATATATGAAGCATATACAAACAGCTGACGTCAAGTAAACAAAAGTAAAGTCTCAGATCCGGATAGTACCTATACAATTAACATCTGCATGATAGTCAAGCAGGATAAGTACACAATTCTCACTTCCTTTGGATGCAACAATGTGCTAAATTCACATAAAACCAAGACAAAGAAAAGGAAAAATAAGTCAGTAATATTATTCCGAAGAAACCATTAAAGAATAGAGAAAAGAAAGAGAATTTGACAAACCAGAGGCCTCCTGCCATTGCTGTCTGATTCATTCGGATCAAGGCCTCGTTTTAGTAACTGATGCATTAACAAATCATCTCCCCTGAGAGCAGCGAAGCATAAATTGAGAGGTAGGTCCATTCTACCATGTGCTAGCATGTTCTCGGTCTCTAGCAAAACTCCCTCCATGGTTGGATCTTTGAGGTCTTTCAAATGCTGCCCCACAGATAAAGAAAGAAAATATCATGTTAAAATCTACTCGCATGTAAGAATATAATGTATGAACATCACAATATCAAGTTACAATGTTCTGATTGTTTGATTATATACACACCTGAAGGAGATTATTCATGATTATAGTCCCATCTCCAACATTGGCCTGAACGATATTCAAGAAAGTTGTACGGTTTAATCGTAGCAGTTGGCACAGTCGTTTAGTCCGCACTGTAAAAAGCTGTGGCCTATAACAAAGTACTCCAATCTCACCACAAAGATCACCTGATTTTGCCTCTCCAACAACCTGCAGAAAATTCCGATGTTAATCTCATGTAGCACGTTAATAACCCAGTTCGGAAAGCATTAATTCGAAGAAGAGAAAGAAGTACAGTTTCAAACTTGCCTGTTCAACTCCATTTTTGAGAACCAGTAGATCCTGTGTGGTAATCAAAAGATTAGAGACTAACATTAGTCAAAACTGACTACCATCAAAATATTCTCTTATTATCAATTTCTGGTGCATGTCGATAATTTTAAACCACGTATATGAAAGCTCAAAAAGAAAGAAATCAGGTTAGATTATTACCACAGCACCAGTAACAAGGATGTAGAAGTCTGTTGGTGCTTCATTCTGCAAAATCACATCTTCCTTGGGAGGGAAGTATTCAGCTTTCATCTCTGAAACCTTCAAATTTTTACATATAAAAATTTAATACACGTATTATGCAAGAAGGAAAGATAAAGGCTCACACTTTAAGGAAAAATCATCTAGTTAAGAAGGCCAGAATGGAGAATTACCAGCTGGAAAAGCAAGTCATTGGAAACCCCACGAAACAAGTAGACCTTATCAACCAGAGAGTAGAAAAGATAATGTGAGATGCTTGATCTGATCGCTTTAGGAAGGGATTCAAGGGTCTCTTGCTGCTGTAGTCCCTCTGAGTCTGTACGGAACTTCAAACACAAATGAGCAAGCATCTGATCTTGCAGACGAGGAGGTAATTGGTTCCTTTGAGCAAAACTAGAGGCAGCTTGTATTGTATCCCTCTGAAAGCGAAATACACCAAAAGAAATATTGTTAGCATTCATCAGAAGTATGAATCTTCAAGAATACAATATGTTAATTATAATAAATCTACTCACAAATTTTCTAGTTCGACTGGTTCCATGGACAACCAAATTGGTCATGTTACCAATTAAGTATGCTGTCAATCCAAGATTGAAAAGCATGTAAAAGATGTCAAAGATCATTTCCCTTGTGTTTACTGGATGCAGATCACCATAGCCAACAGTCGTTAGCGTAGTGATGGACCAGTACATTGTAGTTACATATTTGATCCATAAGCTTTGTTGAAGGAAATTTTCCATGGTTGCTCCAATCCATGTCTTCTCGGGATCATGATAACGTGCAGCAATAAGAAAATAGAAGCATCCAGCACAATGTACCGCGAAAATGGTTACCTAGAAAGAACATCCAAATCTTAATAACAAAGCGCACTACATAATCTCATTGATCTTGTCAAACTAGTCCAGTTCTTATGCTAGATACTTACACACACAAGTTTTGCACATCGGACCCAGAAGTAGTTAAAGTTCCTATCTTTCTCCAGTCTGTTTAAAGAACCAACAAGCTGTTACAATGAAACAAAAGTTCGTGCCAAAATCTTAACTATCTCTAATTAAAACAATCAGAGAAGAAAAAAAAACCTTCATATGAAGCAAGCTCAAATGGTCACAAGAAGAAAAACATATATATACCTGGCAAACATGGCACTAACTCTTCGAAGACGCCAAAGACGAAGCATGTTGAATAAGCCATATATATGGAGTGGTTTAGGAGAGATCTTCATAGCAAGTTCAGATGGAATACTGGATATAACATCGAGGATCAACCAGGAAGTACTGTACTTCCAAGCAATCTTTTTTGGATCATCAACCAATAAGTAAGTAGTTTTATCAAGGTAAGCAACAAAGAAGGTGAGAATAATATCAATTGCAAAGAACCCATTGACAACATTGTCAGTTATAGCTAATGGTGCTTCTGGTTTGGTAAGGAATCCGAATTCGAAGGGCGAAACCCAAGCAGTATAGATGACTAGAACTATAAGAAAAGTCTCCCAGAACCTGCACGTAACAGTTTAATGCCAGTTAATAATGGAAGAAATTGGTTTGAATTGCAGTGCTAAAACCAGAGTAGGTAATTCAAAATGAGTTAGTAGTCATTGGAAAATAAGATCAGTCCATTAGTGGTTTTCTCAACTTGAAAATAAGATCAACTTGTGGTTTTCACCTGAGTCAACGTTTTGGTAGTCCATTAGTGGCTTTCTCAATTTGAAAATAAGATCCAGTAATGATTTTCAACTGAGTCAACGTTTTGGTTCCTAGGCTTCCTATTAGGATCCATTCTGGTCTTGACTTATGAAAATTCAATTAAAGCACTATAAACAAGTAAAATTGGCCACTGAATGCCTAACTTTTTTAATTCACATTCCACCATTGAAACTCATGCAAAGAATAAAGCAATATTAAAAAAGAAAGAAAAAGAACATAGATTACACTTCAACTACTCAGTTGAATCTTCTTTTTAGCAAAGAATCAACCAAAAAATCCTAAAACTAAGGCCCAGAATTTAAGATTTGAGAAAAAAAAAACAAATTCTTTCTTCTGGAAAATAGTCATACAGCTTCCGGATAGTGCCAGAAACATAAAAATAGAAATGACACATTCTTTTCAAAATTAAAAAAGAAAAAAGACAAGAAGTATTCTTAAAAAATAAATAAACAAATAAGGAAATGAACTTTGAGTTAAAATGAAATCAGTATGAATAAATTTTTCAAGATATTCTTCTGTTGAGATACGAGAAAAAAATAAAGTGCAGAGATTACAGAAACACAAAGCAACTAAAGAAACAATTTTTTTCTTTACCCACAAGAAAAAAAAAAAAAAGCAAAAAATTTCAGCAAATCACAAAAGAAGACATGAATAACTTGACAGGAATATCAAACAGAAGGCTTAACAGAGCACAGAAATGAAATTTCATGAATTAAAAAACAAACAACAAAAAGTAATGCTTGTTTGATTAACTCAAGAAACTTCACGAGATTCAATGCAATTTCTTTCCAAATTCCAAAACAATACTAAAGACAATTAAATACTGATCAAACCAATAATAGCAGTAAAGTCAACATAGCGCAGCATTAAATACGTATATTTTGTAAGCATACGCCAGGAAGAAAAAGCTGTAAACTTTGCTCCTGAACGGATGAAACAAGACAAACCCAGATTCCAAAAAACAAGAAAGAAACTAATTTCATCACCTGTAACGGCGATCATATGGAGATATAATGAAACTTCTGAGCTTAACTCTTCGGTTACTTCTAGCTCCAAGAGAAGGAAGTATTCCAGTTGTGAGACTATACTGGCTACCATCTCTTGACAGCTGCTCCATTTCTTCTTGCCCACAAACCGACACCCTAAACATCCCTCTGTTTCCTGCACTCGCCATTGTTAGGCGCCGTAAGCTATGCAGAGAAACAGCAAAAGCTTCTCTTCTTCTTCTTCTTCAGTCTTTGTTTTGTGTGGGTAGGCGTTCTCATTCCGCTTTCCTTCTGATATATATATATACTTGCACCTTGGTTGGCTGTCTCTGACATTTTTTTCTTCTTTTTTTCTCTGCTTATGGTTTCTGTGATCCCTCCCGTATCTAACAATTTCTCTTACCTTATTAATTCATTATTCTAATATTTAATTTCTAATCACTCTCCACGTCGAAAAACTATTAAAAATTTTATTTTTACTTTGACCATTTTGCCCTCGGTTAATGAACGTGTATTCTTCTATCATCTTTCTCATCAAATAAAACTATAATATATAAAATGTTAAATATCATATAATATGTTATTTACTTTAAATAAGTAAATTGAAATTTATATTTCAAATCATATATTAAAATGCGATTAACCGCTATGTCAAAGTTCATTAATAACGTATTATGAGTTTGATAACATTTAATTAATTATGATTTGATTAAATTTCAATCATAAAATTTAATTTTTTTTTTTTTTTGCCAAAAGTACACATAAAAATTTATTTTTCAACCTAATCTTAAATGGGTTTTTAAAATAATTTGTATTTTCATTCACCCAAGAGTCCCATCGTATTTAAAAATAAAATAATTACATCATATTTATTGTAATTTTTCAAAATTATATCAAATTGCATTAAATCATAATAATAATATTGATATATTCAACAAAGAAAACAACACATAACAAAATATATAAAATACATGACCAAGTATAAAAACGTCACACTTCATGTGCAATTCTTATATTAAATTGTACCATTTAATTTGGACAGTAATAATACATATACATACACATATACATATACATATACATATACATATACATATACATACAAGTTGTTTTGTCAATCACTCAAACTCATAAGCATTTTTTGGCTTCTAGGAATTTGGTATTCTCGGCTTCTTCATATCCCTAATCTTAAATTGCTTAATCACTCTGCAAATTAGGAATTATGGGTTCCATTACTTGTCATTTATATGAAATTAATTATTTACATTTTCAAGATAAAATTAATTAAGCAGTCAACATATACCAAATTCGGACAGAACCCTATTAATTAACTCACTAATACAACTAATTAATTACCCAAAATCGATATACACAATAATTTGTATTGAATAAAATATTCTAAAAGAGGTAAGTGTTTGAGATCTTCTAAATAAATTAATAATGTGGCACGAACTCTTATAATTCCCTATTAAGGGTATGCACACGTCTGTGAATGAAG